ACAGAGAGAACAATATTAAACGTTTGTAATGCTATATCTTAAGCTTATTAAATAAAAAAATATATTATGCGTGCAGATCTCTGATTTTATTTACATTTTATAAACACATTATCGCGTATTGGCGTTTTTATTCTTAACATGCCTCTGTTATACCTAATTCCCCCTGGATATTTTTTCATAAACTATTTTGTCAAAATGCATTTTGTCGAGTCTTTACGGTTTCTATGTCTTTGGTACAAAGACATAAAAGTATAAAGATAGGACAATCGATACGTCAACAATTTCCAATAGATGGCTTTTCCTCTGTTGTTACGATATCATAACAACAGAGCAAACAATATTAAACATTTTAAACGCTATATCGCAAGCTTACAAAATAAAAAAAGATTTTTTGAGTACAGATCTCTGATTTTATTTATATTTTATACACACATTATCGCGTATTTGCGTTTTTATCTTAACATGCCTCTGTTATGCCTGATTCCCCCTGGATATTTTTTCACAAACTATTTTGTCAAAATGCATTTTGTCGAGTCTTTACGGTTTCTATGTCTTTGTTGTCGAGTCTTTACGGTTTCTATAGCTTTGTTTCTGTTTCGGGTTGCAGCCATAAAAGGTGGCTTCACAGTCGTAGATAATTCACAAATAATAATTTCGTTCCAGGAATGTTACAATATAAATAAAAATGTAAAAAAATGAATTTAAAAATGTCAGAGTATATGGTGAGTGTTAATCCAATAATTTAGTTATAGCAGCTCGATAGGATTTTCGGCTCCTCTAGTTATTATTCATAAAGGTAAAACGGAGTAGTGAATTAATTATACAGATCACATAGTTAGAAAAGATCGCCTATTAAAGGAATAAAAAGGAATTTAATGTGAAAATAGCTAAATATATTGAAAAGAAGCATAAATGTCATAAAATCTGTTTTTATAGTTTGTTGCGATAATATTCATTTTACTAGTGTATTTCTTTGTGAGGTTTGTTGTTGTGTTTCGTATCAAAGCTTTTGCAATTTCTTCGCGTTGTTAGCGTTATTTGGTTGGTAAACCCGGTTGAAATGTTTGTAAGAGTGTGTATGTGTGTCTGAAATTTGAAATAAAAAAAATTGCATATGAACTTATATATGAACCCATATTATCACAACATTAATAAGGCAAGGTATTAGATAGGCTAATAAGTATACATCTGTATATTGGGAGAGGGTAAATTTGTCTATACTCAAGTTGTGTCAAAGACAGAAACAAAGCCATAGAGACCGTAAAGACTCGACAAAATGCATTTTGACAAAATAGTTAAAAAAAAAATATCCAGGGGGAATCAGGCATAACAGAGGCATTTTAAGATTAAAACCGTCAATACGCGATAATGTGTGTATAAAATGTAAATAAAATTAGAGCTCTGTACTCAAAGTATATATTTTAATTTTATAAGCTTATGATATAGCACTGAAAAGGTTTAAATTGTTCTCTCTGCTGTTATGATCAAAGACATAGAAACCGTAAAGACTCGACAAAATGCATTTTGGCAAAATAGTTTATGAAAAAATATCCAGGGGGAATCAAGGTAAACAGAGGCATGTTAACAATAAAAACGCCAATACACGAAAATGTGTGAATAAAATGTAAATAAAATTAGAGGCCTGCACTCAAAATATGTATTTTCATTTTATAAGCTTAAGATATAGTATTAAAAACATTTAATATTGTTCTCTCTGTTGTTATGATATAACAACAGAGGAAAAGCCATCTGTTGGAAATTGCTTACGTATCAATTGTCCTATCTTTATACTTTTATGTCCTTGTTATGATATCGTAACAACAGAGGAAAACCCATCTGTTGGAAATTGTTTACGTACCGATTATCCTATTTTTATACTTTTATATCTTTGGTTGTGTGTTGTCAGTGATACCAGATTGTATGAACACAACAAAAGGTTTGTGTCACGGAAATGCAACGATGCCATCTGTTAGTGAATTTAATTATACGTCGGCTATTGAGTTTAGTTAGCACTTTTCGCGCTTGAGTATAATAGATTTTCTATATTTTTTATAAAACGAGGAAAATAATTTGGTTTATAATCAGATGGATGTATGTATTGAATAACGAAAGATGATATGTGAAAGAAACAAAAGCATAAAAATTGGACATTAGGCAGCCAAAAATTTCCAATAAATGTGTACGATCCCATAACAACAGTGGGCCCTTTCTGTAACTTGTTAGCAGCATTCGACATTGTGCATTTAACAACAATTTTATTTGTTTTGTTGTTTTTACAGTAACAAAAGAAATGTTAAGAAGCGATGCTAATATTTTAATGCGTTATATTGCAACTATATAAATTTACATGTTATTCACAGTTTTCAGGTAATTTTGAGGGTACAATACAATGAACCATTTAAATTATTTGGACTGTAGGGGAGAGGGGGGCACCTTTGAACAGCGCTCATAAAATCTCGGTTTAAAATTTTTCCAATCTTGTTCTTTATCTGCGTAAACCATTTTGGCTAGCTTTTTCAGTTGTCGACAAAATTTACATGAGTGACTTGTTTTCGCACTGCAATTGTAAACTTTTAATTTTTTGGTTGTAAGGGCGCAGGAAGAATTTAGTGATAGTTTTCTTTCGATAAACAATTTTTTTGCATTCCAAAAATCATTTCAAACATATCTAATGTATTTGTACTACAAAAAAAGTTATTATAAATTTCCCTAAAATGCCACAGGTGGGGCACCTTTGAACATACCCAGAAAAACCGAAGTTTTTAACTTTTGGCTTCGATTTCTCAAAAATTTCAAATGGGCTAATAAGATTACGAAATTAGCCGCATTTTTCACCATATAAATTTTTGTTTCTATGTCATTTTATGTTTTAATAAAATTTGATCAGAATTTTTTAATTTTCGAATATTTTTGTATATATTTTTTAATAAATAAATGCATTTCTGATATATAGGAATACAATACATATGAACATAAACACTGTAAAAAACCATGACGTTTAAAAATACCAATCTTTGTTCAAATGTGCCCCCCTGGGGGGCAGTTTTGAACACTTTGACTTCGTCCATTAAAACAGTAATAAAATATGTATATCGAGCTTAAAGTATGTCATATGTATATTCATTTTAAAGGTTACATATGTACCTATTAGTTAAAACTTATAAGAAACCAAAAATTATAACATAAAAAAGTTTATGAGGCTTGAAAGAAAAAGTGTTCAAAGGTGCCCCACTCTCCCCTATACCCAAATTGGCACACACTGTTGCTCTCAACTATATATTGAAAAGAGCATAACTTGACCTAATATTGAATTTTTCCTTTTGATATGTAATGCCAAAAATATATATTTACTTGCTGGGTATTTAATATATGCTCTAAAAATATTATTGCCTCTGTTCAACATTTGCCCAAAAAGTTTAGAAACTTGAACGTGAACTTTATTGTCCACAACTTCTTACAATCCTACATATCTGTTGTTATACCCTTCACGATTGAGACAAAATTTTGCACAGATTAGGATTGAGACAAATCACATATTTAAGTTCGTCCGATGTCATGGTGCTTCAAAAATAATACGTCTATTATGTACAATAAAAGTCCTAGTAGCACCTCTTTTATGTACCCAAAGTGGTGAAGTGTATAATATAGTCGGCTCTGTCTGACTGTTCTACTTTCCTTACTGGTTTGTAACTATATTTATTTAAGGGGACCTCCCCCATTCTCGATTTTAAATTTTCAAGATTTTCATTGGTCTGGCAAATGAATACCAATGCATATCAAGGTTTGTAACTTTACACATATATATATTTGAAGATTTAAAAGAGAAGAAAAATAATTTGCTAAATTTTGGTTGTTGTTTTTGGTGATTAAAGAAAATGGCGGGCATGATAACACCTCAATGGAACATCGGAATCCGAAAATTCCAAGGGTGTTAGAAAGAGTACATGTCTGGCTCTCGTATGAACTAGGATTATTGACTTCGGACCTTTGAAAAATGTTTTGGAAATTCCACAAACTATGTTAAAAAATAAGGAAGTTCTTCACCGATTGGCTTTATCCTAGTTCATACGAAAGCTATACACTCCCAGAGAAACGTGTCAAAATTTGGGTTATTAGTTCTTAAGTTATCGTGCCCGCCATTCGTAAAAACACTGCTTCGAGAAAAATGCGTTTAAAGTTTGAGAATTACTCTTGCCACTTGATGCTGTCACAATGAATCGGCTATATCTTCAAGAGTTCTTGAGGTTTTCACTTGAAATTTTGTAGGGACATTCTTGAATTACTGTAGATTAGAATTACGATGATGGATTCTATAAAAAGAAGTATAATATTGCTATGCAAGTAGATCATATATACTTACCTTGTCACAATTAACAGCAACAAGCAATAATAATTAGGAATAAAAATGTCCTTTTAAATTCTTATTTATTTACTTTATTTTATTATAATTAATTTTAAGATGAAACTACACTTAGAAAAATTACACTGATAATTGGTTTTGTTGTCGCCTGTTTTGTTTTTGTCATTATTGGGTAATTTATCAAGGAGAATTTATTTTAAAACGTTTATGATCAATCTGTTAGACTGTGTATGAGTCCCTTCGGAAACTACAACGTAGTTTCGGGCAAATGTGAAAACTCAAAAATACAACTTAAAACTAAATAAATAAATTCGGTTATCTTTTATTTATGTGGATTTTGTGTTTTTTTTTCTTGTTTTTTTTTTACAAACCGAAATTAAAATACCTAATGCAACATTTAACTATCAGAAATCAGTTCTTCTTCCTTAGGACTTAACTAAGTTTTCATAAAAATGCTAAAACAAGCATTCCGTCGGGGTGGATAAAACATACGAATAGCGGATATTTTCTGTAATTCTCCCGTGCTCGTCTTTAGGAGCTGAGAGAGTGCCTTTGCTGTGGGTTGTTGTGATTCAATCGTAGTTTAGTGGTAATGAATGAATGCTAATGGTAGTGGTTGTGTCTATCCAAGTGAATTTGTTGTCTAAAATATCTAAGATTACGTGTAATTCTTTAAATGGGATTTTAAAGAGGGAGTTTGCTAAGCTGGATTACTTTACACCGAACTCCTTCCTCGAGTCTATCACATTGGTATACGTCTTACGAGTAAATATTCTGAAAATTGTTGGCCTTCAACACCGCCCCCGGTGCTGGCCTCAATGGTGAAGCCAGCATTTAGCAGCTTTGTCAAGACTTGCACCGAATTAAGTTTACAATAACCATTGAGCGGGTAACGGATGATTTGCCGCCAGTCACCCTGATTCCAGGATACACCACTGCGACTAGTCTGGGTCCCTTGGCTGGCTTCGGGAAACACCTCATCGAGCAGGGATCGTTCGGCAGACAGTAAAATACGCTCTCCCAAGTCTGGGGAGATATGCAGAGCTACCACCTCGTAGTTGCATTCGTTGTTGGTGCCGATACGTGGACTACTTTTAATGCGAGCAGGCGGTGTAGGTGGAGCCACTAAATAGTTGCCATTGCGTACACGATCCTTGCGCATGGCTTCCAATTGCTTAATCATGGCTGCAATCAAAGATAACATTAACCCCAATACTACAGACAATTAAATTGTATTCTTACGTTCAACTTCAAAGTAACGCGCCTCTTCCAACAACAACTCCAAGTGTGGAAAGTCCTCCGATATCAAAAGCCTTGAATTCCGCATGAAATTCAATATGTGTCTGAACATGCCGCCATCTCGGTCAATGAAGTAGTGCTGCTTCAGGGAATCCAAAACAATTGGTATTGACCCATTGAATAGTTTGGCCAATTTGGAATCGGGATATTTGGTCAAGGTCTCAAGTGAACTGGTGTAGATGGTACCACCCACATCGATGTGCACTGGAGCCGTGTAGCGACTTGCAGCCGCAACGCAAGGAATTCCTGTGATCGGTTTGTGATTGGCATGCATGTACGATGCCGCACTAGCTGCTGAACCGGAAGTGCTACCCGAACCACTGGTTATACCCGAGCCAACAGTGCCCGGCGGTAGGCCCAATGGTGTTACTGCTGAACTGGCCGGCGGTGTTGGTGTGGGTGAACTAGAATTTGAGATCGTTGGCGAAACCGTCGGAGAAGCACTACGGGTTGGAATGGATTAAATACAAAAATAGGTAAAAGTTATCACAGGTTGTAACATACCTAATTTTGATATCACTACGGGCATAAATCCTGCCAGTCGATGATAAATCTCTGGGTTCGAGCGATTTGTTTTCTCTTTCTCGTTCTCGATCCATGTCGCATTTTTTTCTGTAAATACAAAAGGAAAAGGTTCACCCATTAGGAGGGGTTGTTTTCATTTCATTTAGTGTGCTACTATTAAAGTTATTACATTAATGCTTCGGAGGAACTTATTAACATCGCGTAACAATGTATTGTCTATGCTAAAATTACATATTGATATTACACACGTAAATGAAATGTTAGAACATTTTGTCGAATGATGAGGACAATTATATCAATTCGCATGAAGTGAATTTAAATATGTTTTTCTCATTTTGATACGTCTTGTATTCATTGTTGGCAAAACAACTTTAAAACAGATCCATTTGTAAATATAGCCGGCAATATTTCTAAATTATTTTGCAATATATGTTTCATGCTTGCAATTCACATACACATACACTGATATAACTCCTTTAGGGGTCTGACCTTAATATGAGTTAACCCATGTCTTGTGTGGCCTGAAAACTTAAGAAATTTATCGGTCTGACATTCACATGCGATTAATTTTATTTCTCGTTACGTTACTCAGTGGGTGTTTTATCTGACCCCCCTGAAGGCATTGGAGTTTTACGGTAAACCTTTTTCTCTCTCTCTCTCTTGGCTATCTGATTTTTGTGTTATTTTGCTTTTGTTCACTCTGGATGACGATGGCCATGAAATGTGAAATCAATGATGGTGGGTGGTATGACATGCGGTATGGGGCAACAGATACGCCATCCATTTTGTCCACAAAAACAAAAGCTAAAAAAACAACTTTTCAAAACTTGAGGGATTTTCCATTTTAAGATAAATATTTATTTAAAATCTCATTAAATGTTACAATACGGCACAAATTCCATACACATGTGTTTTTGGTAGAGGGGTGTGTGCCAACCTCCCGCAAGACCTCTTGACAAACTAATGCCAACTAACAAATTATTTGTGTATTTGCCATGGCTGTTGTTATTACTGCCGTTTCTGTTTCTGTTTCTGTTGCTTTGTCGTTGTCGTTGTAGTCGTTGCCGCTGCCGCTGCTGATCCTTTATCAAAATTCCAAAATACAAATTAGAAGAGTTTTTGTTCGAAATACTCTGCACAAAACTGAAATTCCCCGAGGTAATCAGGAGGAAGATAATACAACATGAGCTGCAACAGAGCAAAGTAGAAAAACGCCATGACATTTTTTAGCTTTAAGCCCCCGAAGCTATTGCAAGACTTACGGGTAGAAGGCAGTTTGACTTGAGACGGGAGCTGTTGGTGGTTGTAGCAAGCTACAAAGGTCTCCGTTGAGACAATACAAACAGGCAGCCAGAGAAGTTTGGCTGATGTGGCTGTGGCGGGTGCCATGTATTAGAGCAGAGCCCAGCACAGCATTAAGCAAATATTTAGCACAAAGTTCAGCACAGACAAAAACCTTACGGTTATGGCCTCCGGCCGAATGGATGAAGTACTCATTCGTGCATTGAAATTTCATTCCACCGAAACACCCTTCGATGGATGAACTGAACTCACAACTTTCGATACACACTCGCACACATTCAGTTCGAACACAGAGACTCACGTGGTTACAGGAGTCTTGGGACAAAAAAGCCAGTTTCCTTTTGGCATTGAGTCGGGATAACTAAAGATATCAGCTACAACAATAATAATAATAAATGTAGGTGTGTGTGAGTGTGTGTTCAATGCCACCCTCCTGAACACAGACAAATCGTACAAGCTCCAAGCCAAAGACACCGACAAGTCAGCTTGGCTCCATATCCAGTCAATTCCATTGGTGTGTTCACAACAGTCAACCAACCAAGCAACGTGGATTGAAGCAACAACTTGTATTCCTGCAATCATTCAACGATTCAACTTAAAAGACAAACACTGCAGAAATAGAAATATGAAATAATCCGAGGATCAAATGGGACGTAATTTTACTAAATACAAATACATTAATCCGCTGGAAGAGGATTTGTGGAAATTTCTCTGAGAAAAATATTTTCAATTCGATATTCATAAAGTGAAATACACTCACGACCACATTAATGGGAAGATTAAACAGTTCCCATATCCTTCATTAAACCACCCTCGTTACTAGTTCTAACCATTTGCAAAGGAAACTGTAATCTTTTGGGAGGTTAGGTGTGTTCCACTTAGTTTCGGTTTTGTTTTTATTTCTTTCTTCTCCTTGTCGATATACTTTGGCTTACATCTTCACATTCATTCGGGGATATTCCTTTGAAACACAACAGCTCAATACTTTTGCAATACAGCAGACCCCAAAAAACGTAACAGAGCCTGAGGCAGAATGCAGGAATGTTGGCGATGAGGACACTGAAGGATATCGAGTAACCTAGCCATGCAACAACCAACCAACCAACCAGCCAGTTAGTCAAGCCAAGAAAACCAACTAAACATCCAGCTGAAGGAACAGGCCCAAACCAACTAAAAACCTTTCGATTTGTGTTTTAACAGTGTAAGTATGTAGCCGCACGCACACACATACACACACTCGCCTGTACACCTCGGTACAATCCATTTGGGTATTGAAGTCACAAATGTTCAGTAGTGAACTCAAAGTTCTTCTCCTCGATGTGGAGGAGAAACAGAAAAAGAAGTGGTTCCTTTCGGCCTTATGTTGTTCCTGGTATTGTAAGTTTTGTTTGGAAATGCAATAGAGTGTGTGTGTGTGCGTGTGCAAGTAGAGAATATCATATGTTAGCACTAACTTCTATGCCATATGTAGCCATGTGTATGGTTTCGCCTTCACCAACACAAGTGTACATTTAGTTCCTTCTTTTCGTATCGGTATCTCAGTGCTTGTCTGTGCGAGTAGGAAAAACAAAAAAGTTTTTCAGGCAAAAGACCTTATCTCAATTTTAAAATGCCTTAAGACATTTTGTGTTCCCCTCTCTCTCGATTTTTGTTTTTGAGCCAGAAAAAATAATGCACCCACACACACGCTCTCGTACTCATTCTAGAGACAATGTTAGTGAATGTTTGTTCGTTATTTGTGTCGTTACTTTAGCCTCAAGATCCCCAACAAGTCCCCCATTCAGCATATGTTACTAGAAGGCCGTACACCTACCTCACAGTAGCTATAGTTTGAACACAGGCCAATGAAAAAGAATATTTATTATTATCGAAATATTTGGATATTTTGTTCTGTTTTTAATTATCTTTTAAAATAACTTTTTTGGAAAACATTTAGAACTACCTAGTCATCCTTATTTTCTACTTTGAATGACATGATCCTCTCGGTGGACACTTATAGAAGATGTATGTACAAACACGACAAATCCCTTTGCCGAACCACAAGGTTTTCTTTCATACACGTTCCAAAATGTCATATCAGTTATCGCTGCCTACATTCAACAGGGTAGGATTACATGCAGACGAACTTATACTCACACATCCTCACATTAATAATTTTAACCAGTGATTGAATGTTGAGGAGGTTTCTTTTCCGCAACGATGTGTCCAACAACAATAAAATTCTCCCGCAGACAAAGACAAAAATGAAGAATGCAAACGAAAGGGAAAACTGAAGTAAAAGGAAAACAGACGGTACGAAAGACAACAGAGAAAAAATGAACTGTACACAAATCACAAAATGGCCCCGGGGGTAGTTAAGAAGAATTTGATGCCTCCAGTCATTTGGATGGGTTCTCATTTCATTTTGTTGGTTTAGTTCAACGTCGTAGTCGTCGTCACCATCATAGCCACAAGCCTGTCATGGTTCATGTATTGTTGTTGCCGTTCCGTCCTTGTTGTTGTTGTTGTCATTGTTGATTTCAAGCATATAAAGCCTTTCAGCTCTTAAATATTCACCAACAAGTTCACCCACATACAAACAGTTACAAGTATACTTCGTGTCTTTGTATGTGTCATGGTGTTCGTATGAATTAAATCATAATGCAAATGATGAGCTGGAAATGAAAAGTAAATTTGTCACGGGTTATTCCCCAATGTCATTAAAACTGTTGCAATCACTTTAGACAATGGTAATGTGGGTAATTCTGAGTTTCTTGTCAAATTTGGAACTACTTCAATTGTATTTGTATATTTATCATAGCACCAAAGCTCCACCCAAAGGCGTGGCTTTATTGAGTTCCGCCCAAAAGGCGTGGTTTAATTCTTAAGTTCCGGCCAAAGGCGTGACTTAACTATGAAGTTACGCCCAAAGGCGTGACTTAACTATAAAGTTCCGCCTAAAGGCGTGGCTTTGTTATTAAGCTCCGCTCAAAAGGCGTGACTTTATTATTAAGCTCCGCCCAAAGCCATGGCTTCGTTTTTAAGCTCCGCCTAAGTCATGGCGTTGTCTTACAACTTACAGAATCAAAATCGTTCATTCAAAAGAAAAACAATTACAAACACGGTTGGATATATACAGAAAGAGCAAAATATATAAGTTATTTAAAAATATTAGTTAATTTTATTTCCTAATCTCCTAATCAAGTATTTATTTATCCCTACAGCAAATATCCAAAAACAAATACGAATATCATTTGTACCCATCCACATATAACACTGTAATTCATTATAAAATCGGACTATCATGCAGATTTTTTTTGGTAAATTAGTCTATACAAACCTGAAACACACCTCAAGAATGGTTCCTCAAATTGTATCTAAATATCTCCAATATAGAAAATCCTATAGCATTTATAGCACCAGTTGAATAGATGCAAAGCGAGTAAATTACCTTATGTATTTTAGAAAATATCGTAACTTTAATGATTTTTATAACTGACTTATACAATAATTAATGTCCCCGTCTTTAAAATGTATCTGACACACTTCGACAGAAGAAGGAAAATAACTGCAAATATTATGTTTTCCAATCAATCCAGCTCAAATCACTGTTATTACCGCGGTGGAAATTTCAATGCCACGATGTCAGCAAATGTTACGGATCATTTACACATGACCACTGGTAATTCTTTTGACATACCCACAGCCACTTAACACGTCTATCAGTCAAAAGCTCATTCGCCGGGCAATGTCTATGTATGTGTGCACATGAGTGTTTGTGTAATTTAAGCCACTCAAATGCTTTC